AAAAAAAAAAAAAAAAAAAAGAAAGAAAGCATATATATCGATATATCTATATATATGCCAGGGATTTAGCTCAGTGGCACCATGCAAGGTCCTAAATTCGATCCCCAGTACTGCAAAAAAAATTATTCCCTATATTAATGTTGAATATTAAAAAAAATTGAGTGGACAAGAAGAAGGGTATTACCTCTTTAAAAAGATGATATTTGATCAAATACCTAAGAGAAGTTAGAGAGCCCATTATGCAGATATGCCTGTTGAAAAAGAGATTAATAAAGTTAAATAAGGATTTTAGGAGATGTGATCAGAAAAGTAACAGCATCACAGGGGTAGTGCCATCCAGCAGGCCTCTATAATTAAAGCAAGAGAAGAGATTCAAAGACTGAGTTTCAAAATAAAGAGGTCAAGAAGAGAAGAATCGAGTAAGGGCAGGATGTAGAGAAGGAATGAATTTTAAGAGGAAAAAAAGGGAAGTATGGTGCCTGAAGGCAAAGTAAAGAAAGTGTATCAAGGAGGGGGAATAATCAACTGTTTTAATGTGATGGTCCAAATAAGACATGAGACTTGGGCATTGGATTTAACTCTTCATGACCTCGACAAGAGAACTGAAAACTAGACTACAGTGAGCCTAAGTTAAAGCACAAAGAAATGAATGGAGGCTATGCATACAGACAATTATGACAAATAAGAGGAACAGAGGAAGGGGGTGTTAACAGTGAGGGTAAGGAGGCATCAAAGAAGAAAGTTTTTAAGTGATGGAAGCAAATCCACTTAAGACTCCTGGCAAAAAAACTGAACATCAGCAAAATGGATCTATATCAAAATAGTATTTGATGAACTAAAGAGAGAAAAGATGGATATTCAGAACTTTGAGAACATTTCATTATAAATATTCATATTTTGCCATAAAACTGCATACAAAATCATTAAACTAGTATTTTTTCACTAAACAACTCACTTTTAAACATGCAAATTAATATTTATTTTAAATGGGAATTAACAGATATCTATGATGTCATACCATTGAGTCTTAGCTGATATTTCTCGACTATCTTCAGAAGTTCAGTGCATGTCTCTTGAATGGTGTGAAAAACCTTGAAATATAAATTTTATTAGGGCAATTTAAAGAACCATAAACAAATGTAACTTAAAAGCACTTCAAAAGCAGTACATTTTAAGTACATATTATGTCTATTTTCCTTGGCTGTGATATACTTAAATTTTGGTTTTACTTATAATGAAGCACATTTAGTTAGATTTTCTCTTTCAGGGTTGGAGAAAATGACTAAATACATAGAATATATCTATAGAGTTTGTTTTCCCCTCAGCTCTAAACTATCTAAATACTAAAAAGGCATATCCAATATAAACTGCACCAAATATTGCCAGCTACAGATAAAAAGAGTGTAACTAGAAAGTATCAACTCTGCCTGTAGCTTTTTTCTAATATTGACCTAAGCAAGAGAGTTCAGTAAACTTATTATAAAAAATAATGTATTACAAGCTCTAGTGTACTGTTGCATAGTTATAATGAGTATAAATGACAACAATGTTTTGTACATTTTTTTTTTCTTTTGGTACTAAGGATCGAACTCGGGACCTTGTGCTTGTGATGCAGGCGGCACAACTGAGCTAAATCCCCATCAGTACTGTACATTTAAAAAAGCTAGAAGAGGGGATTTTGAACGTTTTCACCATAAAGAAATGATAAATGAGGAGATAAATATATTTAACCTGGTTTAAATGTATACATGTATAGACCATCATATAATACCTTATTCTACATACAAATTGCATGTATCCATTAAGATAAATTAAAATTAAAAATAATCAATATTAAATATGAATTGTTTTTGGATTATTTTTGTTTGGAGTTTTCTATAGATATTAAACTGGTCATTACTATTGGTGCTAACTGCTAACAGAAAAGAAAGAAAATGTTTTGTAGGCTCCTTTCATTTCATGAAAATCTGAGCTGAAGACACATTCTACATCATATCCCCAGCCCATAATGTGTTTTAATATTAAGCCCTGGCCAATCAAATTGTTTCCAATATCATCAAGAAGTATGAGTATTCTACCAGTTTAACTGTAATGCTGATGCCTTATCAAACAAACAAATACTGATAATAAGTGCTAAATCTTGGTGGGTGAATAATTATCAGTTTTTCATGTAAGTTTAGATGTGTTTGAATTGGATTTGGTATCCAGTTTTGGCAATTTAAGAATCTGTCTTGGGCTGAGGATTTAGCTCAATGGTGCCACTGCCTGCCTCCTAAGCATAAGTCCTGCGTTCAATAAAAAAAAAAAAAAAAAAAAAAAAAAAATCTGTCATAAGTGTGTATCTGGAAGAAGATTAAAACAGAATACAAAAAAAGATAGTTCTAAGATGAGGTTGTCATGCTTTATTTTCCCCATGGGATTTTTTTTTTTCCTTGTACATGAGATGGAACTTTGGCCCTTGCACTTGCGAGGCAGGCAGCAGCACCACTGAGCTAAATCCTTGGCCCTACCATACGCTTTTGAAAGATTCATGTACTGTTGCTTTGTTTTTTGGTTTTTGCTTTTTTTGGTACTGGGAATCGAACTTGGGACTTTGCACTTGTGAGGCAGGCGGTGCCACCACTGAGCTAAATACCCAGCCCTATTGCTTTTTGTTTTTACAATGAAAATACTTCTTAGCATTTAAAAAAACAGTATGTATGTGGGGTAAAATTGTTGGTTAATTTCAAATATTGGTCTAAAGGGTAAATTCACAATAAATATAAAATATGACTCCCATAGATTATCTAACAATGTAAAACAATATAAAAAAGTCTTATGAAAACTGTGATGAGTTAAGTATTAAAACAAACACTATGGCAAAAAATAAAGATCCATCATTTTTCCACATTTATTGTTGAAGCATAAGAATAACACTTTTCAATACATATAGTAAAAGCTTCTTAATTTATTTCTGTATTTGTTATGATAATATGTTTATATTTCTACAGACAGAAAATACTTTGATCAAAACCTATTAAATTAGACATATATATTTGTTTGTTTGTTTTGTTTTGTTTTGTTTTTTGAGACATGGTCTCACTATGTAGTGACTTGGAACTCACTGTGTAGCCCAGGCTGGTCTCAAACTCATAGTGATCCTCCTGCCTTAGCCTCCCGAGTGCTGGAATTACAGGCGTGCGCCACCATGACCAGCTAAATTAGACCTATACTTTGAAGACTCTCAATACAATAATTAGGTTTGAAAACAATGACATGTAAGATTTACCTTAAATTAGTATAAGTACATGGAATTGGTAAATCTGCTTTAAAAATCCAGTCTGTTTCATTTATTTACATGAGACTAGCTTCACTTCTTAAATGTATAAAATACTTACAGGTTTCAAAATATTTCACAGCACTTAATTCCTTTTATTTAAAATAAAAAAAGACAGGGCTGGGGATATGTATGGCTCAGTGGTTCTGCCACCTGCCTTGCAAGCTCAAGGACCGGAGTTCAATCCACAGTACCAAAATAAATAAATAAATGAGAGCTAAAAAATGTATTATGAAATATTTCAATAACTTTATCCCTTAAAAACAAAACACCTACTTTATCCTCGTTGAGTTTTATTTCAATTAATTTATTTCATTGAGGTAAAAGACTTCACATCAAAGTACAAGACATTATGACATAATATATAATGAGAATAAGGTCCTGATTGAGAATTTAATTAGTTCATTAATATTTAGCTTCAAAAGTAGAATGTGTGCCAGAAAAAATTACCTAATTCATGATTTATCTAATTTAGATGACCAGCTCTAAGAATTCTTCAACTGTAAGATTTGTACCCTTCAGCTGACCATCATGGCTCATGCCTATAATCCCAGCACTCAGGAGACTGAGGCAGGAGGATAACTGCATGCTCCAGACCATCCTGACCATCCTGGGCTACATAGTGAGTTCAAGACCAGCCTAAATTACATAGTAAGACCCTGTTTCAAAAAAAAAAAGACAGACAGAAAGAAAAAATTAATTGTGACCTCTTATCCAGAATCTCTGACAATGAAATAAAATAAAAAATTCTATTATTTGCCTTTATTGCCTTAAACTCTTTGGCTAATAGCTTGTTGCAGTCCTCTTAACATTCCAAATAATAAGTAGTTACATTCAGCACAAAGAATCTTGAAATTTACCTCAAGTTTAGCATCTAGTTCAGCATCAGATGCCACCACATGCTCATCCTCTTTTTTTCCTGTTGCTTTGATAAAGACCTGTTTAGTTTTCCAGTATTTCTTTTGCATCCTGCTGACAACTGACTGGCTGTCTTCTGGTCTGGGTTGCCCAAAGGAATCCATGGAGTAACTATAACAAATAGAATAAAATTAAGCTTCCATAAAAAAAAAAAACCTTCTTAATAGCAAATATCTATTTCACTACTCAAGATTTAAGGGCTGGGGATTTAGCTCAGTGGTGCTGCTGCCTGCCTTGCAAGCACAAGGACCCAAATTCAATCCCTGGTGCCAAACAAGCAAACAAGCAAACAAGAGACAAATTCAACTACTCAAGACTTAAATGACAAGCTAAAATAGAGATTAAATAGAATATTAATGCTCACAACATGCTAATGCTTGCTTTGTATGGTCTAAGTTTATAATTATAACTTGAAGAAGAAACAAAAAGATTAATAATACTTATATTAATTTTGGTTAGATAAAAAAGATATAAAACATGATTCTGTATGACTAGAAATAATTCTATTCATTTGATCAATCTCTATTGATAGAGATATATTACTTTCTAATTTTTACATTTGTAATAATACTGTAAAATTAAGAAATCTGAACTTACACCTTTACATATTGCTCGCATTTCTTTAGGAAAACTTTCTATAGTGATAATTGCTATTTCATATGAATAAAATTTAATATACTTTCTTAGATATGCAAAGTCTCAGCTATATATACTTCTATAAAGATTACTCAAAAAATACTTTAAGAGACTTCTGGGAAGATGGGTGGAGTGGTGAGCAGCAGGGAAACAACTTCTCTAAGATGCAGAGTCCAGATGGTGGAAAATAACAATGTAAAGAGGGGAAGAAGGAGGGGAATGGGGCCCCAGTAACCAGCAAGGATCTGAAGAGAATATTGGAGTCCATAGGGAGAGTAAAGAGAGGGACTTCAATACAGAAGCGGGAGGTGGCACTCAGCACTTACCCCCTAAACCCCAGCTCGTGGCATAGGATGAGTGGATGAAACCTGCAGAGGCACAGTGACTATTGGTTACCCTAGAGGCCTCCATGGAGAAATGCACCAGTAGAATGGAGCAGTGAACGCAGCAGACTGCAGCAGCTGATGAGTTATTCCACTTCAGACAAGTTCCAAGAAAGAGCAATTGGCTGGTCACCATTTTGGAAAGGGGCCAAGTGAACTCAGAACTCAGCAGCTACATGTTGGCTCTATCTAGCAGCTCCCAGTGTCAGGGGAGGCACGCACAAGTTCAAGCTGGCAGGCATTCAGGGAGCCAAGATCAAGCCAGCAGGAAGTCAGGGAGCTGAGTTCAAAGTAGCAAGAAGCTAATTCCAAGATGACAGGGAGCCGAGGTCACCTGGGCAGGAGGCAACCACAGTGTTGCAGGCTGAACAACTTGGTCCTAGCCTCACAGCCAGAAACCAGAAGCAGCATAAACTTCAGTGGATACAAGCTTGCTGAGATTATCCATCACCACACTGTATAAAACAAATATTAATGGACATAAAAATCAAATTAGCCCTAATACAACTATAATGGAGGACCTCAATATACATCTGTCACAAATAAGCAGATGAACTAGACAGAAAAATTTACAAAGAAATATCAGAACTGAACCAAATTTTGAATAAATGGACTTATTAGATGTCTATAGTGTGTTCCACCCCACATTAGAATACACATTCTTCTCAGATGCACACAGGACATTGCCAAAAATAGACCACATACTATCTCACAGTACATACTGAAGTAAATGCAAAGGAAGTGAAATTATCCCATGCATATTATCAGACCATAGCACAATGAAATTGGAGATTAATTGCAAAATAAATCACAAAAATTTCATAAACACATGGAAATTCAGTAACACCTGAAAAACTAGTGAACAACAGACAAAATAAGACAATTTTTACAATTAAATGATAATGCTGATATAACATACCAGAACTTACGAGATGCACTGAAAGCAGTCTTCCAAGGGAAATTTTTAGTGGTGAATGCTCACATCAGGAAAACAGAATGAGCTCAAATAAACAACCTAATGTTAAACCTCAAGCTTTTAGAAAAATAAGAGCAAATCAAGCCCAAAGCTCACAAGAGAGAGGAAAGTATAAAGATTAGAATGGAGAGTAATAAAACAATACAAAGAGTCAATGAATAAAAGAGTTGGTTCTTCGAAAGATTATATAAAATTGATAAACCCTTAGCCAATCTTATCAAAATAAAAAGGAAAGGCTCAAATCCATGTAATTAGGAATAAATAGGGTGAAATCACACAGATCCTGAAGAAATCCAGAAAATCATTAACAACTATTTTTGAGAATCTTTATTCTTTTGGGGGGGGTGTGCAGGGGATTGAACTCAGGTCCTTGTGCTTGCAAGGCAGGCCACTGAACTTCTGAGCTAAATCCCCGGCCTTTTTTGGTTTTTTGAAACAGGGTCTCACTATGTAGTTAAGACTGACCTGGAACTCACTATGTAGCTCAGGCTGGTCTCGAACTCACAGCGATCCTCCTGCCTCAGCCTCCCAAGTGCTGGGATTATAGGCGTGCACCACCACGCCCGGCTTTATTTTAATATAATGGAAAATACAAAAGAAATGGACAGATTTCTAGATATATATGAATTACCAAAGTGAATCAAGAAAATATAAAAATTCTAAATAACTCAATAGCAGTTAATGAAATTGAAGAGGTAATTAAAAACATACCAACAAAGAAAAGCCAAGGTCCTAATAGACTGCTGAATTCTACAAGAAATTTAGAGAACATCTAATGCCACTATTCCTCAAATTCTTTAATGAAATTGAAAGAGAAGCAATACTCCCAAAGTCATTCCTGAAACCAAAACCAGAGAAAGAATCCAACCAAAAAAAAGAACTACAGGCCAATCTCCCTAATGAACATAGATGAAAAAAATCCTCAATAAGATACTAGCAAACACAATGCAGCAAATTATCAAGATACACCATAACCAACTAGGATTCATCCCAGGAATTCAGGGATGGTTCAACCCATGCTTGTCAATAAATGTAATGCACCCTATTAACAGAGCAAAGGACAAAAATCACATGATCATCTCAATAGATGCAGAAAAAGTATTTGACACAGTGAAGCACCCATTCACGAAAAAAAGTTCTAAAGAAAATTGGAATAGCAGATCCTTATCTTAACCTAATAAAAGCTATCTATGACAAGCCAACAGCCAACATCATACTAAATGGTTAAAAACTGAAAGCTTTTACTCTAAAATCAGGAAAAAAGACAAAGAGGTCCACTTTCACCACTTCCATTCAATAAATTTCTGGAAACACTAGCTAGAGTAATTAGACAAGAGAAAGAAATAGAAGTTAAATTATCATTATTTGTGGATGACATAATGCTCCACATAGAAGACACCAAAACTCCACCAAAAAACTCCTAGATTTAATAACCAAATTTGGCAGAAAGGCAGGATACATAGTCAACACACAAAAATCAATAGCATTCCTGTACATAAATAACAAATTCAGCCAGGGTTTTAGCTCAGCCGTTCGGTGGCCTGCCTTGCAAGCACAAGGACCCGAGTTCAATTCCCGGTCCCAAAAAAAACCCCCCAAAAAACCAAACTCACTAAGAGATAAATTGGAGAAACAATACCTTTCACAATAGCATTAAAAAAAAAAAAAGAAATACTTAGGAATCAATTTCACAAAGGAAGTAAAAGATCTTTTCACTGAAAAGTACAGCACTCTGAAAAAGGAGATCAAGGATCAAGGAGGATATCAGTAAATGGAAAGACATCCTTTATTTTGGGGTAGGCAGAACCAATATAAAGAAAATGGCCACACTTCCAAAACTTATACATATTTAATGCAATCCCAATCTAAATAACAACAGTATACCTCACAGAACTAAATAAAACAATCCTAAAATTCATTTGGAATCAGAAGAGACCTGGAATAGCAACAATAATTCTGAGCAACAAAGGTCAGGTAGGAGGCATCACAATCCCTGATTTGAAATTACACTACAGTGCTTCTCTGATAAAAACAGCATGGTACTTGGGGTTGGGGATTTAGCTTAGTGGTGCCACCACTCCCACCTCACAAGCACAAGGTCCCAAGCTCAATCCCCAGTACCACAAAAACAAAACAAAGCAAACAAACAAGAACAACAGCGTCTCACTCCAGCAATAATGACTATCAAGGGTTCAACCAATAACAAATGATGGCAGTCTGTGGAGAAAAGAGACCCCCTTGTCTGCTGTTGGTGGGAGTATAGACTGCTGCAACCACTGTGAAAATCAGTGTGAAAATTCCTCAAAAAAATAGGACTAGAGGTTTCATTTGACCCAGCTATCCCCCCCCTTCTTGTTATCTTCCCAAAAGAACTAAAGGCATTAAATACAATGATATATAAACAGTCGTGTTTATAGGAGCACTGTTTGTAACAGCTAAATCTTGGAAACAGCCCAATTGCCAATCAACTGATGAATGGATAAAGATGATGTGTTTTTTTTAATGTAACAGAGTAACTTAATGATAAAAAAAATTAAAACTTGAGGTTTCATTTGACCCAGCTGTGGTTTTGTATTGTATTGCAATAACTTCTGTTTTGCTGTGGTTGCCCATGATTGCTTTGGTTATTCTGGGTCTCTTCCAGTTCCATAAGAATTGTAGGATTGCTTTCTCTAGCTCTGTAAGGAATGCTACTGATATTCTAATTGGGGTTGCATTAAATCTATAAACAGTAAAACCTTGGATTGCAAACTATAAGTGTTATGTGAGATGAGCAAACATTTCTAATAAATGTTAACTTGATAAACAATATGAGAAGTAGGTGACATTGAATGTCACATGATCACAAGTGAGCCAGTTGTGTCTCTCCTCTTTGCTTCCTTTCTCTCCCCTCCCCCACCTCTCTCTACAGGATTTGGGGTAGTCATCTCCCAACATCAAGAGGTTATGGAGATCTCTTCTGCAGAGGAGGAGGAGAAAAAAAGGTGGAGGAATCCCTCACTTCAAATGAGACTAGGATGTATAAAATGTGGGAACAGTGATTTTGTAGAAAAGTACCACCCAAATAGCAGTGTAAGCGATGAATCTGTTTAATGACAATGCAATGTCACATTGCAGTGAAACCCTCAAACGGAGGCGAAACCACCAGGTGCAATGGCACACAGCTGTAACACCAGCACTTGGGAGGCTGAGGCAGGAAGGAGGATTGCAGTGAGTTTGAGGCTAATCTGGAATACACAGCGAACTCAAGGCCAGCCTGCAGTACAAAGCAAGACCTTGTCTCAAAAAAGCAAAAGAAAAAAGAAAAGGGTGGGGGTAAAACCAAGTGTCATTGCTTAGGTTCCCTGTTAAAGCTGCACAAAAAGAAAAAGATCCCATTGAACCAGTAGAGAGCAGTGATTCCATTAGTAACAATGAAAGTCTTCCTACACAATAGTCCTCTCTCTCCCTCACACCAGCCACAAAGGTTTTTAAAGTGCTGATTAATTCATTTATATTCTGTATTTTCATCATTTTTTATATTACAGTATTGTAACCATTTGTATATGAATATTTTGGGTTGTGGAATGAATGATCTGAGTTTCCATTATTTTTTATGGGAAAATTCACTTCGATCTACAAGTGCTTTGGATTACAAGCATGTTTCTGAAACAAATTAATTCTCACAAACTAAGGTTGTATGTATTAATTTTGGAAGTTATTTTGACAAAATTAGTGCTGCCTGCCCAGGAAAGGATATCTCCATTTTCTGATATCCTCTTCAGCCTTCTTTTTCAAAGTATTATAGTTTTCACTGTCAAGGTTTTTCACTTTTTCAGTTAGGTCAAGTCTTAAGTATTTAATTTTTCTTGAGGCTATTGATGTATTTGGTATTGGAGATTGAACTCAGCACCTTGCACTTGCAAGGTTGACAGTGGCACCACTGAGGTAAATCCCCGGCCCTCTTGAGGCTATTGTTAATGGTATTGTTTCATTAATTTCTTTCTTGGGAGTTCATTATTGGTGTACGAACACTATTGACTTTTGTGTGTTGACTTTGTATCCTGATACATTACTAAATTTTATTATTAATTCTAAGATTCTTTTAGTGGAATTTTTGGGGTCTCTATGTAAAAGATTGTCATCTGCAAAGGATGGTTTGACTTCTTTCCTATGTGTATGCCATTTATTTCTCTTGCCTGATTTCTCTGGGTAACATTTTGAGTACCTTATTGAACAGGAGTGGTGATAGTGGGCATCTTTCTCTTGTTCCTAGTTTTAGAGGGCAAGTTTCAGTTTTTCTCCTATTAAATATGTTGTTGGCAGTAGGTTTATCATACATGGTTTTTGTCAGATCAGGATAAATTCATTCTATGCCTATTTTGTTCTGGTTTCTTATCATGAATGGATGTTGGATTTTGTCAGGGCTTCTGCAACTATTGAGATGCTCATGTGATTTCTGTCTTTGCTTCTATTTATCTGATGTATTATATTTATTGATTTGCATATTTAGCCATCCTTACATCTCAGGAATCAAGTCAAC